TACAAATAGAGATTAGCAGGTATTGGGCATGATCATTTATTTTGAGAAGTGTCAACTGCTGTTGTTCCATTCAACACATATCTATTTGCAAACATTCCTAGATAAAGTACTAGATCATCTACAGTGATAATAATTTGTGATAGACCGAAGTGTTCGGTGACAGCAATAGAATTAGTTGGCAATGCTGTTACAAATTCATTTGCTTGTGCCATTCGATTGACTAATGTCAATGGTCGTACGAGAGTTGCTGATGATATTTGACGGAGAAGGTCAAGACTAGCTTCTGTCTTTGTTTTCAATAATTCTTCAGGCAATGTTATTGAATTAATTAATGAAAAATTAACAAATTGGTCGAGTAAGTTAACTGTTGTATTTATTGCAGTTCGAGAGAGTTCACTAATCGTTTGCCACAGAGAACTTAAACTTTTTCTAACATCTACGGGCTAAATCAATGTTGTATTTATTTCGAATGTAAAATCAATCCAAAATTGAGAAATAAAATCACTCGAACATACTTGATGAAACGATGGAATAACATTAACGAATATTTCCGTAGGGAACTGAAATTCTTTTACATGGACACTGTAGTGTCTCGATATTTTTTTATGCAAGTATTCGTACATAGATTGTGTTGGTAAGTTGACAGTTTCACTCTTAACTTATACACTAGTGAAAGTGTACATTATTAGAATAATAATGGAAGTGACCAGAAGAAAAATAAATAGACGAGTAGATAAGATTTTATGGCGAATATTTGTTGGATCAGTTGATCTAGAATCGTACAAATTAATTTTAGAGAGTTTTCACAAAGAGATCTGTTTAATGATTGTAATGAATGCAGTAGAGACATGATGAAAGTTTTTTTGAAAATATTTTTCGTTGAACGAAGAAAGTAATAAAGTAATTTTGTTAATATCTACTTCTTTCTCGTTCGATGAAATACTGGAGAAAATTTAAAAAAATAATATTTCAGTATATTACTAAGTTACTTCATTAGTTGTTTATAACTGATATATTTTAGATATGATCAATCCCCTTACAAATCAAAATTTATTTTAATGTGTTCTTTATTTTTGAAAGAATTAAAAATTCATCTAATTACAAGAGAACTAATAAAGTAAAAAGACAAAGATAATGTAATGCAAATGACAATTTCTTCTGTTTATTGCAGCTTCTTTCCTTGAATATACTAGATTTTATAATTGTATTCAAGCACTTACAAAATTAAAAAGAATGTGGTAATTACGAAATGAATATTTTCATCTATTCTAACTTAATGTATGTTAGCTTCAACATCATTCTGATATGTCAATTTACTGCGTACTATAGAAAAAAACCTATAATAGTATTGAGTTGATAACCAGAACTATTTGAGAGTTTTACTGATTCTGTAATATTCTAACTTTTCGATCGAATCCAAATCAATTATAAATAGGTATATTTGAGATTAATCAAGGGTTTGTCATTTCAGAGAAGCTTAATGACTTGTTCGTTTTTTCGAAGCAGAAAATTGCAACAACATTTTTTACTAATTGTATATCTTTTGCATGTCTGATAATATGAAGGGACCGAAAACATCAACTTTTAGCACCAGCAAGGTTCATGTGGATTGGTATTATGTTGGAAAAAGCCTTCAAAAACAAAAGCTAATGCATACAAATGATAAAATTTCAGTAGCGGACTTCTATTCTTCCTGTCCCTCGCCAGTCATTTCTTCATATTCAATAAAGTATTCTTAATGACAGTTATTTTCTGCAAAAAACAAACAAATTCATATTACTAAACACTGTTACTGTGGGGTGTGGGTGTGTGTGGGTGTGTGTGAGTGTGGATGTGTGAGTGGAGACGACAGAACCATCTCACACCCACACCCACACCCTGATCCACTTACTTTGACTTATCCTGATATTGTTTTATCTAACAATGTTATTCTTTATATAAAAAAATACCTTTTATAAAACAGAAAGAAGCTGTAGTGAATATGTATTTCCGTTGCTTGTACTTCAACATCGTGGACTTAATAAAAAATGTACTATTTTTCAATTTCTTAATTATCGGATTAGAATAAAGCATCAAGTAAAAAATATCAAAAAAGCTTTGGTACCGGTCTATATTTGTTTAAAGATCGTTCATACTATTAATGTTATTATAATCCTAGCCCAATCAACAGAATATCATTATTTCTCCAAACGTTAAAAATTTTGCAACTAAATAAATAATCAAATAACTTCCAAATAGTTCTACAAAATTCAATATTATAATAATTGGCTAATTCACTATATAATCACCACATATATTTAAAAACATAATTAAACTTGATACAAGAAAAAGTCATGTTTATATGTACGCCAAATATGGGTCAAATATTGATCAAACATTATATTTTAAATGATTATGCTATTCGTTATCCATTTTTAAGCCACCAATTTCATCAACGGATATACGGCAAATTCTACGCAACATCTACAATTTCTTTATATCCATTGATTGATCAATTAACTTTAAATGCTTCGACTTTATTAACTCTTTTGAAACATTTCTAACACTGGCTCCCCCTAAATTGTTTCTAGTTTATTTATAAATTCTTCTTGAATCTTCCCAATTCTCAGCATATATTTAATCTTCCTACAAATATAACACTCACAAATCTTATGTCATCATATTATATTTAATTTTCACTTTTAATTTTTTAATTTTTAATTTTTTAATTACAATCTATTTACTATTATAAAAACTTTTGTTCATTTTCAATTTTTTAATTCTCATCTGTTTAATTTCAACTTGCTCATTATTACTATTTTTATTTTATGTGCTTCTAATGCAGTGTCCTGAAGAGTGTTTTAATTTTTAAATCAATACCGTGCAACGCGTCGGCAAAAATATATATCTGCATTAATTTTATTATCTTATTTTAAGCACATTTATTTTATTTTATTCAAATTTAATAGTCGACAGATAATCGGTTGCTGAAAAGCAAAAGTTGAGACCAGCAGATTGATTTGTATTTCATAAATATAAGTTGATCTGTTTTCGTTTGATTTGAAAGCCACTGATTCAAAAATTACCTGATGAGTCCCTTAAGCAAGCACGAAATCGGTCATAGGAGCTTCTACACACCCACATCCCACACACTTATTTATATTTTTTCGTTTATTCTTAACTGTAATTTTGTTAACTGTGCTTTATATTGTAATGCAGAGCCCTGAAGAGTGTATGCTTATTTTCATAAATAAACATGAAACGCGTCGGCGTCAATAAAATCTGCATTTTAGTTTTATATAAATTCAAGCACAATATTAAAAAATATATATAAATTCGACTTAGTCGGTTTCTGAAAAAGCAAAAATTGAGAGTAGCAGATTGATTTGTATTTAACAAATATATAAATTGATCTGTTTTAAAGTTATTTGTTTGATGCCTTCAATTCATTGACACCCACACCATCCACAGCCACACCCTAGTTTAGTTTACACTTTTTCTTTTACTTATTCTGATAGTTGTCGGAGATTTTACAGAAGCAATAGAATGAAGAAAACACCTTCCTTTATTTTTCTCTGGTTCGCTATTCCGTTTATCACTCGTCATTTTTGCGAGGAAAAAATCAATCTATGTTTTTTTTTAATTATGCATATATAGTTGTATTTTTTTATGATTTTTTTAATTATGTTCAAAAAAGACAGCATAGTCAAGGAAAACCGATGTTAAGTCCACTGCATAAAACACCAAATCTAGGTTCTGACACCTGAAACTGACATCCTATCGTAATACAGAGCTTTTTATGCAAATTTTAAAAAAAGTATGAATGAATTTCTACTTATACCCTTCAACAAATACATCAATCTCACCATGAGTTAACAGTTGTATGTGATAAGTCATTCCTCTTTTTCTTTTTTCTTTGAGTCAGAATTTAGCGAAGTTGCAAATAGTTACTCATCATTAAAGAATAAAGAAAGACTAGATTAATAAGTAAAACATGCGACGTAAATGCTGATATTGGTATAAGTAGAATTTTTATCTACATCCGCATTCGCACCCACATCAGCCGATACTTTTGGGGTGTGTGAAGCACTTGTTGTGGTTACAAGTGAAGAAAGCACTAGTAGACACCCAGAGCCACATCACCACATCCACAAAACAAAAATTCGTATCTACACAGTTATACATATCCTCACTCAAATTCACACTCGTAACCATAGCTATCCACCGAAACCCTCAAGTTCAGTTCAATTAGGAAAAAAATTCAGAGATCACTCAATTGAACTGAGTTGGTAGTCTTTCGGGATTACGTTATTCGGATCTGTATTGATTTCATCATGATGAAGTTGTTTCGAATTATTGTTATTTAGAGTACACCAGTTGGCATTAACCATCAGACAGCATTCATGGCCTGTGATGCATCTGAAATTAGTACGTCATCCGCTCGCATTCTGTGGATGTGGAATTCAAATTCAGATCCATTTTCGACGTGCGAATCGAATTACTGGCGTCTTTACTCGGACGTAGAAAACCTGATCATCGAAGAAGCATTCATAGCTGGTAAAACTCATGTCATGCTGGATGATTATCATATTGATTTTAAAGATAAACTTCAAATTTCTAATAAAGACACCAACAAACAACAATTTGTCAAAAGAGTTGTGTGCAATAGAAACGATAAACATTTTCGAGAAGAAAGAGTGTTACCTAATCCTGTCGCTTATAAGTGTCCTTTTGGTAATCAGTACGGATTTATCTCACCTTTCATCAAAGAAGTAGTAAAAAACTTGAACCTCACAAAAGAAAAATTACCTTCGAAAAATGAAACAATCGTTCCAATGATCGTAGAAAAAGCTGCTTTGGGAATTATTGAAGAAGGCAAGATGATGGGAAAACAACGTGAGGCAGAAAAAATGGCAGAGAAATTGATGGAAAATAAAAAAGCAGGAACTGAAGAAGTATGGAAGTGTTGTGCCCGCCTTTATTCGTTCGATAGCTTCTTATACCGAACACTAAATGAAATTATGCGATTCGTAGGAAGCGAAGATCACGAACAAGTGTGGAGAAGTAAAGTACCCACATTAGGTCCGTTCAGCCTACTTCTATGGGATAACCCATTCAACAGCAAGATAACCAAACCAGGAACAATATTGTATCGTGGAACCCAACTTTCAGATGATTTAATTACTTCATTCAAAGACAGTTGGTCGAAGGATCCCCAGCCATTATACTCCTTTCAAGCGTTCACTTCATGTACTCGAAATCTCGCAGTAGCCGAGATATACGGGAATGTCTTGTTTACTATGAACGTGCGTATCGCTTTTACTGCTGATCTTGAACTATATTCCAATTTTCCTGAAGAAAAAGAAGAGCTGCTACTTCCTGGTGTTTGCTTCACGATCGACCAAATGGAGTTTGACAAAGACAAAGACAAACACTTAATTTACGTAACTCTTCATCAGAGACACAACAGTAAGTCAATATAATTTCTCGCTGGATTCTCTTGATCGGAAGTGATATATTTATTTCTTATTACTCTTTCATCTTGTTTTCCTGGTAATCAAGTTTCTAGCGTACATGCGGTCACGGGAATCATTAGTCAAAGAAAAAGTTAAATATTTCCGCCATGTTTTGACCAAATGGGCTCCTATTTTTTAGTGCCAATAAAGAATTATTCATATCACATATGCATATCAGAACCCGAAACAGGATGAATTTTTTCTCCCGGTCTCACCTCGCCTCAACTTGACCTTAAATTTTTTTGTACAACCCTGCCCCGCATTGCTCCAGCCTTTATTTATCTCTTCATTATTTCGTCGCAACTTTATGAGATAAATAGGACATACTGAAAATAATGACGCCATCAGCTTTTTCTTCTCTGTAGAAAGCGTGAAGAAATTTTCTTTTTTTTATGAAGTTATAGAGAAAACAATGTTCTATTTTCTTATGCTATTTCATCGCTATTCAACTAATGTCAGAATTATAAAATTTCGATAAGATCTGCATCACTCGTGTGTGTGATAGTAGCATGAATTCTTATGAGTATTTTTTGAACTATTCTTGACAGAAAGAAGACAGAACTGCGATTTTTACCAATGGAAGGAGGAAATGAAGATGCATCGAATCACATATTAACATTTGCTAATAGTCGTTCTGAAGCTTTTTTTATGCAATTTTCCAACCGCCTGAAAAATGCATTTTATATGAAAAAGATAGAAAGTTTACTAGAAAATCGTAGTAGATGCTCAACTAGAATACGGATTATCCTTGAATAATCAAATATAAAGATCTAAGTTTTCGGCCATTCGCAGATTTTGATTATAGGTTTGACTGTGAACCTGATTATTGAAAATTCATTGTGAATAACTCACGAGACAGGCTTGTTCTTTCAAAGGTCAACTGAAACCTCACAAAAAGCAGGTCAGAAAATCTGTAATGTACATTTCAATGCATCTTTATCTCCTCTATTCAACGATAGAAGTCGCAACTCTTCATCTTGCTTGAATCAAAAATTATTCAAAAATTATGAGCATTCATGTAATCATGGGATACCATGAGAAGCAGCTCTTTTTTCTTTTGTTTGGAAATTTTATAAATATGATCTTAGCTGAATATTGATGAAATAGCGTAGAAAAATAGAGCATTCTTTTCTCTATTATTGCATAAAAATAGAATTTCTTGAAGCTGTTGACAAGGGAATCAGGTGATTGCGTCCTTACTTTTGGTACGCTCTAACTATTATTTTACTATGAGTCACGATAAGAGTTTGTATTCAATTACTGTTCAACCATTCAACTTTGAAAATATTGATAACATAAACTTCTTTGATACAGAGACATCTATCATACAATATATATAAAGTTATTCAGATAGACTCTGTATATATGAGAATTTATATTATGAAGATTTGTCAATAGGAAACTTCGTGGGTATACTTCGTCATCACCCCATCGTAATTTCTCTCCGTCCCTTCCCGCTTCGCCTCGTCTCACCTAAAGAAAAAGCCGCCGTCATCCCAATTACTCGTCCCGTTTCGGATTCTGATTCATATAAGAAACGTTGCTCTAGACTGTTTTGAAGTATTTATAAGTGACTCTAACAAAGAGCTGTAAAGTTTCAGGGATTATGCAAAACCAATATTGAAGTTTCGTCAATAAATTCTTACTCTTTATGACAGACACTTTCAGGATACAACGGTTGAGAAGACATGTATCTGTAGTAAAAATATGAGACCGTACGAGACTATTGAAGAATCAGTCGAAGAATTTACATGCTGTTTATTTTCGACCAAAGAAATAAACCTATTGCTTTTATATAGCTCGGGAAACGTTAAGTTCTTTATTGAAGTCAGTTGTAAATACTTCAAAACAACTTTTGACAACTTCTTTCTTATGAACAGAAGGTAGGAATAGTTCTTTAACATTGCTAAATATAGTGTCCCATTTGGTCAAAATATGGCGGAGATATTCAAATTTTTCTATGCCTGATGACTTTCCTGGCATTATATATACCCTACCAGCAGTAGCTTAATATAGTGTTTAACTGTTTCAAATACAATCAAACTAATGTCAGAAGCTTAGCATGTCCTATAGTTGAAAGATCTAATAAAGGTTTGTATGTGGAGGAAGAAAAAATCATCACCCACACCCAACGGTTATGAGACGAAGGAAAAGGGAGAATAAACATTCCTTTCTACTATAGCGGTAGTATAACTCCCCGGTAAACAGGAGATGCATGGTTGGATTTCATGCGAAGGGAGTATCTTTTACTCCGTTCTGTTGTCATAACATCATTTTGCTGTCTCAGTGATAACAAAGGAAGAAGAAGATATAACAAAGCCCGTCGCAATAATAAATGCTTCAATCTACTCATGAATAATTTTCTAGACATCCTATTTAAATACGGTTAAAAAGTCTCCAAGATGTGAACATCCATAGGATCAACAAAATAAAGTTTTTTCCTTCGACTATGGAAACAACACCTTCTACATAGACGAATACATCTGAGTGAATTCTAAGACTAGTAGTGACCATTCACATATGTCGATAGATTAAGATTTCTAAGGAATAACATTAATATATATTAATAATCGAATTCCTCTATCACGATACAACCATTCTTCCCATCTATATATTTGATACCGCATGTAAACCCGATTACTTAACCGCATGCCTCAGAGAAAGACTTCATTAAACTAATGTCATAATTCTCTTCAAATCTCATCTAGGAGCTGGCAAACAAGATTTAGACAGTAATACAACACAAACTAGTCTACAAAACACAACTACTGATGCTTTTTATTATCTTGATGATCTTCTTGCTCGTGATGCTGATTCTACTCATTATGATGCTGCCCGTACTCATGCTGTTGCTCGTGCTGCCGAGAGTGCTTATCTTGCTGCTCGTGATCATCTTGATGATGATGCTGCCCGAGATGCTGCTCGTTGTGCTGCTCGTGCTGCTCTTGATTCGTATGATTCTGCTGCTGGTGCAGATGCCTATGCCGCTGATCTTATAGGTCGTACTTTTGAGGGTAGCGCTAATATTTTTGATAATGCTGATGCCGTTGCTGCTCATGTTCGTTCTTTCACTGCTGGTGCTGGTCTTGCTCCTAATCGTGCTGCGCTTCGTACTGGTCGTCTTCGTGCTCTTGCTGCTGCAGTTGCGCTTCCTCATTTTGATTTCCTTGCTCTTGATCGTTCTGATGCTGCTCTTATGCCGGCTGTTGATAATAATATTCTTAATGATAGTCACCTTCGTGATGTTCTTGCTACTTTTCTTGAAATAGGGCGTAGTTCTTTGGCTGCTGTTGGTGGTGCTGCTGGTGCTGTTGGTCCTGCTGATCGCGATGGTTATGATGAAGACTGGGAATAGCGTTGGAATAGATGACAGCAGATTCGAGACATTGTTTTATTTTTTATTTGTAGTTGACGCTTTTGGTTTCTTTTTAGCTTTCATTTTGAACTCTCTAAATTTTAGTCTTTAGAACCAGAAGTTCGTATGAATAGAGTTATACATTACGAATCGTAGATACACTGAAAAAAAACGGGTACTATTTTCATGATCAGTAGAATAAATGATATGGTCAGTAAGCAAAATAATTATAAAATCAGTGAAATAAATGAATGGTCAGTAGATTAAATGAATGATCAGTAACATAAAT